CCCCCCCCCCAAAAAAATTGCCCTGTTGTGCAAAAGTATTGCTATCCTCCAAAAAACGTTGTGTTTGCTTGCAAATTTTTGTGAGTAATGCAAAGTTTCTTGGGGGAACATAATACTTTTTATTTTCCTCTCATCTAATATTTTTCTTTCATCTCCACATCTCCTTAGGGACTTTGTACATTGTCTCTTATACATTAATTTACATTTTAACCCAAAATCTCAGTGTTGATAAAAACTCATGGTTATGGGTCCGTTGATGGCAGTGTGTTCTTACAGGTATATTGCTGATCAGTTAATGTCTGGAAAACCAGTGGAGCCCAAAAGTTATGACATGGTGACCATTTTCTTCTCTGACATTGTGGGTTTCACCACCATGTGCTCCATTAGCTCGGCTCTGGAGGTGGTCACACTCCTCAATGACCTCTACAGTCTTTTCGATGAGATCATCAAGCTATACGATGTCTACAAGGTAAATAAAACAATACTCACTTTGATACCCGGCAACTCTGTCCATTCATGCTCTGCTGGTGTGCTTGTCAAAATATTAAGACTGAATGTAGAATTCTGAGTGAATATTTGCTCCTCATTATTTATGATTATGAAATTCTGTGTGAATAAGTAACCAGATTTGCATTCATTCATGTGACATGAATGGATGAAGGACTTAATGAATGCTTCTTGATGTTTTAATGTTTAATGTTTTAATGAGCATATATTTCTGTCAATTAAATGTTATTTCTAGTTCAGCTACATTGACTTATTTCTTAATGTTATTTCTCTGGTAGGTGGAGACTATAGGGGATGCATATATGGTGGCCAGTGGACTGCCTATCAGTAACGGTACTCGTCATGCTGAGGAGATCTCAACTATTGCACTCCACTTCCTATTCGCCATCAAAAGGTTCAAAATTAGGCATCTGCCTAATGAAAAATTGGCCTTACGGATTGGGATCAATTCTGGTATGCAAGTACATGCTATAAGTGTATTGAGTGACGTGACGTGTAGCCAAGTATGGTGTCCCATACTCAGAATT